GCAACACGTAGCTACATCGATTAGTATCTAAAGTGCCCTCAGATCTGAATGTAATCTGCCGGATTAGTTATCGCCACCAAAAAAATCACACTGTACATTCTCCATCATCTTAATAAAACGTAGTGAATTTTACCAATCCATGACTTAAGCCCGGCTGTAGAAAACATTTTAAAAAGAAAAAAAAAACCCGAATTTATTACTGTAATAAAAACTTCCTTAATTTCTTCATTCCTGCTAAAGTGTGAAAGTACTTCTAAGAAGAAAAAGGCAGAGGAGTTGCATTCTCTGTCCCGCTTCCAAAGCAACAAACTGGACGGCACCAGGCGCTGGGCCCGGAGTCTGGAACTACCAAATGCAACCCCAAAGCTGACGCAAAACTGACCGGCAGGATTCAGCTGCGAGACTTCTGCCGCTCCCAGAGGTGCCTGAGCTGGGGGGAAAGAGCCGGGGCTGATCAGGGCGAGAGCCAAAAGAAGGCTAAGAGCAAAGGCCGCAAGCGGTGCCCCCCCCCGCCCCCAGGAAAAAACGGCTGATCAGCCGGGAACCACGCGGCGCGTCCTGCCTGCTACTGCTGCTGCTCACCTCGAGGCGACTCCCGAAGAGCGAACGTCGGCCAAGCGGACGAAGTCGCTCTCCTCCGGGCAAAAGCGGGCCCCACTGCGCTCGGGTGAGAAGGGGGCGACTCACTGCTTGTTCCCTTCTGGAATTCAGAGGGAGGGAGGGCGACTCCCCCTCCGCCAGTGGGAGCGGGAAAGGTGAGAGCCCCTGTCCCCGGACGCCTCTCGGCCCAGCCCGAGGAACGGCAGGTAGGAGCGGTTTCTGGCCAGCCGGCAGCCGAGAATCAATCAGCGGAGGCCTCCTGCAGACGCTCCAGTCGCCCAGCCCGAGCGCTGCCCATGCCTCTCGGGGAAAAGGATCGCCCGGCCACCCTGCCCGCCAAGGAACTCCTGCCTGGCGCGGCCTATTGCCAGCCCCGCCCTGGAAGAGCAGACGAGCGGTTCTTAACCCCGAGCGGAGGCCGCGGGGCTGTCGCCCAGTCTTCCGAGTCTCAGCTGCAGTCCGTAGGAGGGGCTGTCCTGGTGGGAGCGAGGCAGGCCCGTCCCGTCCCGTCCCGTCCCGTCCCGTCCGCCTTTAGCTCAGCCAACCGGCCCTTCCTGAGGGATGAGCAGGAGCAGCGGGCCGCTTCTTTCATTAAGAGACCCCGGACTGGTTCAGGGAACCTGGAAGAGACCAGGAGAGAGAGGCCTCCCCTTGCTAAACCTTTCAGAGGCCGGGGGTGGGGGCCGAAAAAGCCCGTACAGGTCAGAGTCTCCCCTGATCGCCAACCTCCCAACTCCTCACCCTCCCCTATCTCTATTGCCACAGATAGGCTGTGTTGCAGCCACTCCTCAGTTGTGGGAACTTGCATGGCTAGGATGTACAGTTGAACAGTGACCGCCCATATTGTTGGGGTAGTGTGAATAAGTACAAAATCATCTATTTTCAGTTCTCGAAATAGTAAATAACCCATGCTATTTTTATCTTCAATACCATCTGACTATAGGAAACTACATATGGTAGATATTTTTCACTGCAGATGTCACTAGCCCTCAATGAATGCTGAGAGACGCCCAGCCAAGGTTTAAATAAAAGATGGTATTCTTGAGGCTTGAAATAAGATATTCTCTTCAATATCTTGCTGATAGGGTCAGATAGTGTTTCCTAGAGGGTCATACTGCAATCTGTAAAACTCAGAAGAACACACAACCTCCCCTTGCCTCAATTGGATGGGAACTGCTTAACCCTCATACTCTCATGTTATCGCCCTGAGTGGCTACCTCCAAACCCAAAGGTCACCATAGCCACATCCCTGTGGAGCAGACATGCATCAACCCGATAACCTTTGGCACCAAGATGGGCAGCAAGCTCTTTATGGCAGACGGCCCCAAGATTTGATGGCAGGTCGATGGAAGAAAGAAATTTCTTGTCAAGTCAAAGGCTACTTTCATAGGGTGGTTTCCTTGAACCAAATAATATCACTTATGGGGAAGAGGTTTGTTTGGTGTGCACACCAGAAACTACTGATGCCTGCAAATGGAAAAAGAAAAATATTTAAAGAGGTTTTAAATGCTTTTAATCTTGAGATCTATTGGCCTCTGCTTTTCTATGTAAAAGAAATCCTTTTTCCCATTTTCCCACTGTAAAAAATGTTTCAATCTGGGATAAGTAGGGTCCTTCAGGGATTGGAATAATTTTACCAGCGGTAGCAATCTGTGTCAGACCTGCCACAAACTTAAAACTTTTTTATCAGGTTCGCCTGATACGCCAGTTGCGTCCCTTTCTGGATCGGGACTCCCTACGCACGGTCACTCAAGCACTTGTCACTTCCCGCCTGGACTACTGCAATGCTCTCTACATGGGGCTCCCCTTGGGGTGCACCCGGAGGCTGCAGTTGGTCCAGAACGCGGCCACGCGGGGGATTATGGGAGCGACGGGGCGAGCTGCACTGGCTTCCTGTGATCTTCCGGGTGCGCTTCAAGGTGTTGGTGATAGTAGCCTCCCACTGACCGGTTCGCTCACACAGAGAGGGCCTCCTCAGGGTGCCGTCGGCCAGGCAGTGCCGGCTGGCGACCCCCAGGGGGAGAGCTTTCTCTGTGGCAGCACCTGCCCTCTGGAATGACCTGCCCCCTGAGATACGCACGATATCAGACCTCCGGACTTTTCGTCGGGCCCTGAAGACACACTTGTTCCATCTAGCTGGGCTGGCTTGATCCCATCCTCTTAGTTTTTTAATCGAAATTCGGTTTTAATTGGGTTGTTTCAAATTCGGGCCAAAATTATTTAATTGTTTTTTAAAATGTTTTTAAATTTTATATGCTATGTTTTATCCTGGCTGTACACTGCCCTGAGTCCCGCAGGAGAAGGGCGGTATAGAAATATAATAAAATAAATAAATAAATAGAAATGATCCTTGGCTCCATTTGTTGAGAAAGGTATAGTTTTTTAAGCACTCAAGTGCATTGCAGTACTGCATAGCCAGAACGGAGAATCGCATGCCAAAATCCTTAAATTCAACTTTTTCCTTCCCTTAACTGCTTCCCATTGCTGACCCCTCCCTATCAATCAGATTCAAGCAAAATTCCCCCATGCATTCCCCCTCCCCTCCACCCTCCACAGAGTCCATGGCAGACTGTCACTGCATGGTAACCAAGCACAAGCAAGCATGAGTTGGCAGCTGACCATCTGGCTTCTATTGGGAACACAGCTACCCAGAACGGGCACTGCCGCCTGGAGGATTCCTGTCTCTTGATACTCTTCAGGGTTCAGTAAGGACAGGGGTGCTACAGGCATCTCACCTGCCCTCCTTGGAGGTGTCGAAGGGTCATGTTGTCAACCTGCTTAAGATATTTGTTGATGAATTATTGCTCAAGTTTTCTTTATTTGCCCTGCTTGCAGTCTAAGTTTATGTCATTTCTGCTAATTCTGCTAATGTTTAGGATAATATATGGAAAAACAGGAACTGTCTTGTCTTCTCAATGAAGAGATCATCTCAGCTTGGTTGACAAAAAATAAGAGGATACTGTGGAGAAGACTTTTTACCACGCAAGAAGTTCAGAATTGAAGATCTGTTGTAATCACCATTTGGTGTGATTTGCTAATTAGTGTATAAAGCCCAGTGCCCACTTTTCAGGCTGGGTTTTCCTTACCCTCTCCCCCTCAACTGATTTACAATAGGAAATAAATGAGGTCATTAGCCCTCAGCATCACTGTGAAATGGCTTCTAAAGTGCGATGAAACTCGTGAATAATTAGGTAATCATTATTAATTCATTTGAATTCATTTTAACAACTGTCATTGCAAGTCTGCTAAGTGGCACTAGCATGAGCCAAAAGACAGGTCTATAGGAATTCAGCCCTGGAAGGCCGAGATCACGGGGGAAGTCATCCCCCAGACACACAGAATCATTTTGTTTCCCCTGTGGGAGTGTGGCTGAAGGGGGAGAAAACTAAAGCAACAGCGAGGGGTTCCGCTCAAGACAATTTTCAAAAAGAAAAATAGCTGCCTGAAAACTCAGCTCAGACACTTGGATTAGCCCAGCATTCAGAAAGTTCCAAGAAGCTGCCCAGCTTTCTCTTTGCATAGTCCCTGAAGGAGCTGCCTGCCTTTTGGAAACTTATAGGATTCTTGATGTAAGCTTTCGCAGCCAGTATTTGATGGGTTTTGGAATTTAGTAACCATAGTCTATACTACTGGTTTCCTGATATTTCACTGGCAGCTGTGGCTGGCACCTTTCACAGACAACTGAACATGGAATTGCCTGGGTTCCTGTCTATACCAGGTGTCCTGACTGCTGACCGGTTTTTAGAAATTGGTGACTGCTGATTGGCATTTAATATTTAAAGACCAATCAGCAGTCAAACTAAAGTCTACAACTAGTCGGACTTGACTTTAAAGATGGGACTCAGTCAATCCCTGCCTTAAAGATTCTTGTTTGTATTTAGTTATCAGTAAGCCAAATTCAAGCAGTGCTGCTTAATATTTCTTTAACATTTAGCATTGATTCAAGTATTGAGTATTCTAACATTTCTAAATTGCTCATCTTTCTAAAAAATGGCCCCTTCCCACAAGGCTGCTTGGTAGGTGGGGAACTTCAAAGATGTGGACATAAACACCATCCTCAGGCCCTAAGCTGTATGGGACTTGATAAGTACCTTGAACTGCATTCAGAGACAAACCGGTCACCAATATAGCTCTCAAAATAAAGGTGTTATAGTATTGAAAGTGTACTAGCAAACACAAGAGTTATTGTATTTTGTAACTGTTCAAGCTTTGTCTTTGGCTGCATAGTCTTCAGTTAGTAGTTAGGCCCTGAAAAATACCCCTTCATCCCTGTGTAAAGTGAATTTCAATAATCCAGGAGATTAGTCTCGCTGCGATGCTTCCGGTTCTCTCTGGAACTCCCACCACGTGCAAACTCTACTCAGTGGAGATGGTTTCCTCCTTAGACACATTCCACAGAGTAAATTGGCCTGCAGGCTTTATTTAAACCTGCCAAGGGCTTTGCCTCTTGCAGCAGTTAGTAGTTAGGCTTTTTAAAAAACATTAAACAACTTTTGTGTTTATACTATGTTTTTACAAGCTCTTCCCCTGCTACACTCCATTACAAATACATTTAGTAAAAACAAATACAGTTCTTGCTTATCAAACATTTGAAAACTTGCATCTGCCCAAGGTGAAGTAAGACTCTTATTGTTTTCTCTTTCCCTCAGAAGGACCTTAAAAATGCCATTAAATAGCACCAGTCTCATTGGAGAATCAAGCAACATTAACTCATATTTCAATAATTCATGGATCCTTTTCTCTAAAGTGGCAACATCACACCATCAATCTGCAAAACTGCCACTTCTCCCGAGTGTGTGCAGTGTTCATAATGGGTTTTCTAACAATGTACTTTTGGAACAGGGTCACTGAACACAAGCCAGCCAACACAGAGGCCTGACCTGAGTCATCCAAACTAGCATCTTATTGAGGCCAATTGCAAACTATCAAGATAATGGCCCACCTAAAACCATTTCCATGGGGACTCTTTACAAACATGTATATCTTTTTAAGAGTGAATATACAGGAAAACTGTTGTGCGGAAGCCATCAGGGTCACTACATTCAAACCATTGACATTTGAGAAGTACACAGGTTTGAATGGCTAATTTGGCAATACAAGTATTCAGTTATAATCAGGACATTATCCTCTGCTGGGTTCAATCCCAGAAAACAATTGGCCATAATGCTTCAACACTGGAAATTTTTAAGATGCTGGATAACCATTTGTCTGAAGTGGTGTAGGGTTTCCTGCCTAAGGTTGGGTTGAACTAGAAGACCTCCAAGGTCCCTTCCAACTCTGTTATTCTATTCTATTCTATTCTATTCTATTCTATTCTATTCTATTCTATTCTATTCTATTCTATTCTATTCTATTCTATTCTATTCTATTCTATTCTATTTTCTATTCTATTTTCTATTCTATTCCCTATCACCTCTGGTTCCTATTTGCCTGCTCTCACTTTTCATATCATTTTCTACCCATGTAGGGATTTGGTGACCAAGATGGACTAGTCAGTTTCACAGAGCAAAAATTGTCAGAGGGATTGTCGATCCACATCATCTTTCCTAATATTTTCTTTCATCCCAAAAGTCATTTTTATTTTATAGGTGATCTTTTATATTTACCTGAACATATGTCAATAATAACTTGACAATCATCCTATCAACTCACTGCCAGCTCTGAACAACCTCGAATGCCAGAGAAAGCCCTGTCATAGGACAGAGCTGTGATCCATTTTATCTAAACATGCCCCCACGAGGGGGTAGTAGAAGGGCTTCTTGCCTGCCTACCTCATCTTTTGCCTGCCTGCCTTGCCTGCCTGCCTGCCTGCCTGCCTGAGGGGAACGGAGCTTCTCTAGCCAGGCAACATAGCCTTCCTTCTGAGGACAGACAGGTTGGCTTCCACAAGAACTTCAGATGGAAAGACATTTGCGGCTGGGAGCTTCTCTCAGACTGGAGCAGGTAGGATTGTTGTTTGCAACAGTGTGCTAAGTACGGTCAGATCCTTCCAGAGTGCTGCAAAGCTCCCAGGAACAGAGTAACAACTGAAAATGAAATAAAAAATACAGGAAGCCAAATGGGTACACCTTAGGAAACATCCACAGTGAACTGAGAGGCAGCTAAGCTAGTTGCCCCATGGAGTAAGTTGCTTTGCAAAAAAAAAATATTCCTCCCTGAAGCTGCCAAACGGGCATCCATGTATCCACTTATGGGAGTGAAGCCATCTGGTTCTCCAGAAAGGATAAATGGACCTTGGTTCTCCCCACTCCCTTCACTAGCAACATTATCCTGATGAAAGCCACCAAACAGAGTTCTAGAGGGATGTCACCAAATCTCTCTTGCAATATATCAGCCCTCGTACTTCCGTTAACAAGCAGGCTCCTGTCTCCCAGTCTTTCTCTCATATCCTTCGGGAACATGATGTATGATTCTAAGTAGAGTTACCTTGAGGTAAGATGGGAGGCCTATACATTGTATAAACAAACAGACATGCAATCAGAACAAGATAAAATGTGTTAAACCTCCATGAATCTATTATTTCTTTATCTTCTCCTCTTGTGACAGACCAGAAATAGAAAGAGGAAATATTTTGCTGCATGCTTGGCCAGTTTCACCACCAATGCCTGCCTTACTTACAGAAGACAAACAGGGCCATGGAGCTCTAATGCCCTGCAGACAAATTGGGATACTGTTAGTCACAGATGTTTAATTTAATTACAGAATAATGAATTACAATTTACCCTAAAGGGAAGTTGCCTTTCCTTGCCAAGGAGGTGTTCAGTGCCTGAGCATTCATGTCCACTACCTAGACCTTGGATTAACCAGCAGCCACTAAGAATGCATGAGGCCCTTTACTGACTGTATTTATTTTTATGCTGCTTTTAATCACTTGCAATGTTTTAAAGACCATCAAATGGTAAACTACTACAAATTAAAATTTTAAGCTTACGTGGTTGTTAATAAGATATTTTCCCCATCTCAAACTTACAGAATTTGTGAAGCAAATTCCAAGTACTTGAGAAGTTAGAGAGAAGCTTTTGAAACAGGCCCAGGATGGGATCTAGCAGTGAAAATAGACAACTGAGAATGAAGCACCCCAAGGACAGTGCAAGACCTACCGTGACTTCTTACTTTCCAGGGCTTGCAGTCTCATTCTTAAATGGATTTTGGCATGTTCTGTAAGTTGTCTTAACTCTTAAAAAAACAACATCAAAAGATAAAAACCTACAGTGATTGATGAGGATAAACCTGACAATTGACACAAACCTCCTGCCTCAAGGCCTGAAGCAAGCCCAGGTCTTCAGTAATCTGCAATAGGTCAGCAGGGTTGGGGAGTGTGTGTCAATCTAATCTTGGTGTTCCAGAGTTCTTGCAATGGCAGTCAGAGTATATTTGAAGGAAGAGATGTAGGAGTAAGCTGAGAAGAAAACTGGAGGGCTACCCAAGCCAGCATCAGCCAAACATAATGGAGACACTTCTATGTCTGCAACAATTCTTCTCATGGGGAAATTCAACCACTCTTCTAACACACCTTGCAGGAACACAGTTTGGATATCCAAGGAAGTGGCTTGTTTACACCTGTTGAGTAATAATATGAATTATGTTTTTGATATTCTAATTTGAAAGATACAAAATTGCTCTCTGAGAATTTTCTGACCCATGGCCACCCAGCCTCTCTTTAGATACCTCCAGCCATGAGCGTTTACCATTTTCTAAGGAAGTCAGCTCCATGCTTGAATCGTTCTTACAATCATAGAATTTTTCCCGATGTCCAACCAAAATCTGTTGAAAGCAGTTGTAGGTACCTGCTGGCGTGATGGCTCCACTGATCAAAAGAACCTCACCTGGAACCCCCAGTTCCTCTGCAGAACCTTCCCCATCTTCAACATTTGGTGTGGTTATGCAGCTCTCACAGTTGATCATGCCCATGGTACCTGGGAAAAATCACAAGATATTATAGTCTTTCAATAGCAAGCCCACCCTTCCAAATCTTGAGAGGATTAAAATGAATTCAACCAAAAGTCAACATTAAAAGAAAAATGCCCTTCCATGTGTTGCTTCCACTCAACGGAGTTTAGTTTCCCATTTTTTTGCCTACTTTTTTGCAAATGCAGCAACACTCCTAAAGTGAGTGGCAGTCTTCTTCCCTACTGCCATCAAATTGGTGTTTTCCAGCAGGATTTGGAAGAGTAGCTGTGAAAACAGCTCACGTTGGAGTAGCTGCACACGGCTGGGTCCTATAAATACAGCTGGATTAGATGATCCTTGTGATCCCTTCCAATCCCCAGATCTTGGACTCCCCATGCCAGGGGAGCAGGGAAGAAAAGAGGCAGGCCCACAGAGATCACTCCCCTGACTACGCACATACCGTACTGTAATTCATTACAGAGATTTTTGGGGGTTTATGAGGGATGTTCACACAAATATTGGCAGGAATGGTCTGTTATTACTAACTTGCCAGCACTGTTGCTGCACTTATGTGGATGCTTAACTATCTCTCCCACACAGCACACATTGTACATGGAATAAGAGAACATTTTTAAAGGATCAGATTCCATGCATGGGCACCCCAAATATGTGCTTCCATTTGAGACTTGACCGATGGCCTATTGGAAACTATCCTCCTAAGGATTGAGACAACCCTGGTATGGCGCCTGGACAATTGGATTTTGTGTAAAATGCTCGGCAAATCTGATTTCTGTTGCATTAAGGAGTTCTCCGCTAAACAACATGAAGCAAGGAGTGAAATAAGCTGAAATTTTACAGGCTCTTCCAATGCGTTTCCTTCAATACTTGACCACTAATGTTAGAGCTAACTTGTAAATAAGCGTTGACAAAGTGAGAGGAATCAACTGCAACCACGGGTGGGTGTCGGATGAGAAAGCATTAAATTGAGTTGTATATCTTTACAGGAAAGAGCTGTAATCTGAAGCATGGCTCTAATGGACACCAGCTGAAGTGCAGTCTATGGCCATGAGAACAGCCTCTGGCCAAAGGTCTTAATCACAGCTGTCTAAGAAAAACCAAGGACAACTCTGGTCAAATCTAGTCATTCTAGTCAGTCCTTTCATTCCCTTATATGAGAGAGGGGAATTCTACAAGGACTCTACAAGGACACAAGCCAGTGCCATCACCAGGTCTCTTTCTTTAAGCATCACCGCTGGAAGATGAGGCCCAAATCTACAAAGGCCTGAGCATCCTTCTGGGGTTATGGATGAGAGCAACCGGCAGCAGTTCTTGGTATAACTTGATGGGGGAGGGGTGGCAACCTTCACCTAATGCAGGAGGCAGGTAAATACAGGGGTCGTAAATGTGGATTTCACCACCACTCTTCTGGCTCCGTAACTTAATAGGGATAGGCCTACTAATAGGCCTCAGGTTGCTCTGCACTTCCTCCTGAAATCACTGTTGTGAATTTACCAAAAGCTGTACCCAGTGAAGGGGGGTTCTTGGCCCCCGCTGACCCCCATCTGGTAGAATTGGTTTGCCCACAGCCTCCAGCCAAGGTCTTCTGCTGCATGCTCTGTTCCACTTCAGCCAGCAAAGTTGCCTGAGTGGCCTCCATCACCTGCCACAGAGAGGGGGAATTAAATTTCTGTTGAGACAGACTTGATTCTTTGCCCCACTCCTTCCCCAGAAGGGATGAGTATTCTTCGGTGGTTCAGGGAAGGAGCAAAAAGAGCTGAATTGGGGTCTCCTAACAGCCACGGCCCAGTTGCAGACTTGGTACTGGAGGAGAAATATTCCCAAATATCCCATGCACTTATCAAGTTAGCACATCAGGGAAAGGGTTGGGCACATATTTTCTTCTATATGCAGGGAATGTTTATCCTGAATTGTTTGAATTTTTCCTACCACTAATAGCTTTTACATGTACAATTAAACAGTCTTGATACCTAAGCCAGGCCTCACATGCAGCCTGCTCAGAGATGGGAGTCAGCCACATGGTACTTCTGCAGATGAAGGGGGTCTAGAGGAAGAGACCAGCAGGCTGTGGTCTCTTCTGTTCAGCTCCCCTTCTAGCTGCTGTCCTCCGTTTGGAAGGCTGAAGGCTCAGCCAGAGCAGTCCCCTGGGCACCCTGATAAACACTGAGCCATGACCAGGGACTCCTATATTAAGCATCAAGAATTTAGCTGAGTGACAAGTTGCCACTTTCATACAAAATTCTATACAATGTGCCAAAGAAAATGGCCCACAGCATGGGAAAGAAATGCTCCTCACTCAGGATTAACTTCCACTTTGTTGACTCAAAACTTTGTTGTCTCTGCAAAACTGTTCCCCCAGCTGAAACCTGGGGGGATTTTAAGCCCTTGGAATGGTGTTAATTTCTTACCTCTATGGATTGGTCTCTCCAGCAAGAAATTAGCTTGACAAATGAACGATTATCTGCCTCACAAACAGGAAACCTCAATATGTCTGAAGCAGAAGAAACATTATCAGTTAGGATTTTGTTCCTACAGAATATAATGTTCTCTAGAAAAGATCCCTTTCCTTGACAGTTGCTCAAGAGTGACACATGAAATGATAACAGAAGGGCCTTTCACAAGAATGCTGACCATAAGCTACCAGGTTGATCCAGTGTAGGTGGCAGGTAGCTGCTTGTAGATTTCCCAGCTGAGGGTTGAGGATTGGGGACTGTTTTTTTTTTATTTTTTATTTATTATTATTATTATTATTATTATTATTATTATTATTATTATTATTATTATTAATTCAATTTGTATGCCACCCCTCTCCGAAGACTCAGGGTGGCTCACAATGCATTTAAAATCATTATAAAAAACATTTAAAAATTAAAAACATTAAAACTCATTCACACCATTCATGGCCGGATCTTGCCAGATCGCAAGAGCAAGGTCAACGGCCCCAGGCCTGCCGGAAAAGCCAGGTCTTCACCGCTTTTCAGAAGGCCAATAGGGTGGGGGTGGTCCGGATCTCAGGAGGTAATTGGTTCCAGAGAACTGGGGCAGCCACAGAGAAGGCCCTCCCCTGCAGGCCTGCCAGCCGGCATTGTTTAGCTGACGGGACCCAGAGGAGACCAACTCTGTGGGATCTTACCGGTCGTTGGGAGTTATGCGGTAGAAGGCAGTCTCGAAGATACCCTGGCCCTGAGTCATGTAGGGCTTTAAAGGTAATAACCAACACCTTGAATTGTGACCGGAGACCAATAGGGAGCCAGTGCAGCTCACGGAGAATTGGTGTAATGTGGGTGTACCTAGGTGCACCCACGACAGCTCGCGCGGTTGCGTTCTGGACCAACTGTAGTCTCCAAACACTTTTCAAGGGTAGCCCCATGTAGAGCATGTTGCAATAATCTAACCGTGGCTCAAAGTCACTCCAAAGCAGAACTAGAGTCTGGATCTCCCTCCTCCTAATCTTCCCCCACCCGCAGGCACAAATGTGCTTTTCCCCTTCTACTTTCTCTTATAACTTCTTTCACTTAGTTTAGTGTCATCTGTGCTAGGTGTTTCTTTTACTATTTTTGGCCTATGAGCAAATAAATAAAGTAATTTATTTACTTCAAATGAAATTTTGGTAAATTTTAAAAACAACATTTTGTAAACAATTGCATTACGAGAAGTTTAATTTTGCTCTGAGGCAAAAGCCTGTAAAAATTAAACATCATCTAATTAACATGATTTTTAAGTGTTCTTTTACATTTTTTTTCAGCACCAAGAGTTCTATTTGTCTTGGAATTTTTTTTACCTGCCTATATTTGTGGTCATTTCTTATCTTTATTGTGAATGATATTGGGGAATTTATATTTTATTTAATAATGTTTAATAATAACAGCATATTGTACCATGTGCTGAAATTATTAAATTAAGGAGACTGAAGGTAGCCCAGAGGTAGTCCTCTGGGCTACCTGGTGCCTCTGAACATTTTAGGGCTTGGAAGGGTTCTATGGAATCTATGGCTTCTCTTCACCACTGAATCTTCCTTCAGGAAGGAAGGTTTCTTCTCATCACAATATACCTCTAGGAAACAGTATGGATTGCGTCACCAGGACTCACGTGGAGAAGACTCTAGGTTAAGATCATCCAAGACCAGAGATGCTGCAGGTCTCCATTTGTTGCGCTTCATGAGGCTGAAAGCAAAGAGATCATCTGTCTCTCAGGGACCCCAACACAGACAGCAAAGGGCCAACAGTTAGTCTCTCTCTCTCTCTCTCTCTCTCTCTCTCTCTCTCTCTCTCTCTCTCTCTCTCTCTCTCTCTCTCTCGTTTAATTATATATAACTAAACTAGATAGATATAAAATTAATTATGTAGGTCTTTGGTTATTTGGTCTTCTCCCACGTAAAATTGGAAGTGTCTTGGCGACGTTTCGACGAAGTCTCATTCGTCATCTTCAGGCTGGTGTTCTCGGCTTCGTGCTTCCAGGAGCAACATTGCTCCTGGAAGCACGAAGCCGAGAACACCAGCCTGAAGATGACGAATGAGACTTCGTCGAAACGTCGCCAAGACACTTCCAATTTTACGTGGGAGAAGACCCAAATAACCAAAGACCTACATACAAACACCCGCGAAAACCTGAGAAAACAAAATTAATTATACATATATAATTATATATAATTTATATATAATTAATATCTAATATATATATATATATAATTTATATTTTGCTGATAAAGAAATAAAGGGACACTAGTATAGATCTATTTCAAGCTATTTAGCTCTCATCAGCTAGCCATACCGTTACTTGGATTCGAACTTGGGCTGCCTGATGTTAGGCAGTTGTATTAACCTCTGAGCCACAAGTTCTCCTCCCTTCATCAGCTTGAGCCAGGGGAGAGATTAGAGCTAAATAGCTTGAAATAGATCTATACTAGTCTCCCTTTATTTCTTTATCAGTGAAATATAAATTTGGTATAAAATGGTTTGTAGTCAATGCGACAGCTTGAGGACTCCCGGATTGGAGTTGAAAGGCGAAAGGGATGCAGTATGCTCCCTCCCACATGTTGGGGCAGACCAGGTGCCTCGATAGAAAAACACTTTATATATATATCTTCCTTTGTGAAAGGGGACAGTGGGGCACACAATGCAAGGAAGCCTCGGAGGCCGCTTTCTCCCAGGAACCAGGCAAGCTCAGGCTTTTCAGAGGAATAGACCTGGTGGCCAGAAGCTGACTGGGGAGAAGGGAGCTCCAAAGACATCATCTTAGATTATATGTGAATGACATATGATAGGTAAGAACTGCTCATCCATTTCTACTAACTACTGTACAACAATCAATTTTTATTTCAGAAAAAGCTAGACTCTGTCTCACCTGGACTTTTCAGAAGGCCTGTTAATTATCCTTTGAACTAAAGACATCCTGCTCAACAAATAAGCCAAAACTAGCCTTTGTTCTGTAGAAGTAACAGTATTTCTCCATCCATTCTTCTTGCCTGCTTGCTCTTGGGTTACACTATAGTATTTACTGTGTAAATGCAGCACTTTGCTAGAAAATAGATTGACTGCCTCCTGCTGCTTTTCCATCCTCTCAGGATTAGCACTGTTCCATCCTGGTAACATCAGAGTAAGATAATTGTTTTTTGAAAGCAGTCCAAAGGAGACAGGAGAGAAAAGTCTCAAGATACCTAAATACTGAACACAAAGACCATCCAACTCTCTGTTCACACCCCAGGGGAAAAAACAGGACAAAAGGAGTTTGGCTGCCTCGGTGGCAACAGTTGGGCTGGGTTTTCTAGAGGACTGCCTTTTAATCTTCTTGGAACTCTTTGCTTTTTTGCGTCTTTTGATGCCATCACTTTGTTCCAGGGTTCCACTTGTATGCACCTCCCCAAAGTCTTGTTCTTCGCTAGCCGCTCTGACCTGCCCATCCACTGGAAAGAGGGATCCGGAAGTTCTGTTTCTCTGTAACATTAATGTCCTTTTCTCTGTTGCATTTCTGGCTCTCTTTAAAGTGTCGATAGTACTGAAGGAATTGGAGGACTTCAGTCCATTGGCCTGAGAGGAGCAGAGCAATTCCACTAGCCCTTCCAAATCAAAAAGGAGCATGTTGACACTGATGCTCTCCCATGTTGCCCTCAATGGCCAAACAGCAAAAGGCCCCTGAGCCCAGCAGAGAGTAGTTAACTGAAAGATAAATGTTTTAATAATTTAGTTGACATTACCATAGTCAGTGCAATAATTATAATTAAATAATATAACAAAATATTTATATTCATTTATATTCAGTTCAGGTGGATGTCACGTAACAATGAATGTAATCAATAAATATGCGAATATTTCACTTTTGAAAAGAAGTATAAAACAAGCCATTATTGAAAATAGCAAAACAGCAAACGAAAGGCATGAGGAATAAATGACATATCAATATGGTAAAGAAATGTTGAAAAGCAACAACCAAATGACACAAACGTGTTTCCAATGTGTAGTGAAACAGCCATAAAGGAAAAGCTTGAGGAGTTTTAACTGGTCAGAGGGATTTCTAGGCTCAGTTCATCCACAGCCATTTGGATGTGGTCATCGGCCACAAATACAGTCTGTCTAAGGATCTCCCCTCTCTCTCCCAGGGGACCTGGTTCTCTCCCCCGAGCAGGTCCATCCCACTTGGCAGCAGGTATGCTGATGATTCCTCTTCTGAAATGAAGAGCCCTCCCTTGATCCCTTTTCTTCCCTAGCAGCCCCCTCTAATAAGAACCCCATTTTTCCCTTTCGAAAAGGGAAAGTGTGGGGTCAGCCTCCATGAGGCAGAAATCAGCATTCCTAAAATGGCCATCCTTAATCTGTAAACAGATCAAACAAGCAAAGGGACAAAGAGAAAGGACAAGCTTGTTTCCAAGACAAATTTTAATCTTAGCTCTAATGCAGATTTCCAGCCATTCTAAGAGCAGGTAGGCAGGCACCAGAACAAACAGCTGGAAAACCTGAAGGTCTCCTGTGCTCTTTTCCTAAATCCTGCAGATGCTGCTGACTTGCATGTTTTCCTGAAAAAGCCCTCTCCTCCCACATTCCTCCCTGGGTATCCCAAAGGGGGGGAGGGGAAGAAGTGAGACCCCCTTGAAACAACACAAATGTGAACCACACGCAGATTGGAAGCAGCAATACCCAGGGAGCCTTTTCAAGGGCATCTTCTTATTTGCTAAACACATTTTTCTTACTAAGAGCTCCAATTGCTTTTTCTTGATGAGTACTTCATTTTTATTTGAAAACATTCCTCTAAACTTATGGATAGCTAATAGAACACAATAGAAAGGTATGACTAATTGCAGAAGGCATGCTTGACATCTGAAAATGCCCAGACCTTGCACAGGGAGGTAGAGAGGCTGTAAAAGTTTGTAGGGATTAGGGGACTAATAAGTATACTGTATGCCCATTTTTCAACACTTGGGCAATTAAAAGGATGTCTTTTTCTCAAGGCTGAATGGATGAAGCCACCAACTATGGTAATGTAGAACAAACACCAGACGTGGCTAAAATCTATCAATGGGAGCTCTCGGTCCTTGGAAAGGCATTCCAAAGATGGGGGGCAGGAGGAGTCATCAGAGGGGATGGGGAAGAAATGGGGGCTTTAGGCTTCTAAAGGGAGCACAAAAGAACCAGGCTTCCATTCACACACCCAGCAACTGCTTTCTTCTGTGTATTCACCTGACGACAAAAAGACCTTCTTTGATGAGCGAGCCTGTTGCAGGAAAAACTGCCAAAGGCAGAGGAGCTGGACAATGAGCCACCCAGATCTTTCTCTCGCTGGCCATCTTCTTCCCAGGCTGCATAAAGAGGATCGGCCATAAGACCAGAATCTTCACAGGAAGCAAGGATCGCTTTGGCCGTCTCCCCACTTTCGTGGCGCTCTAGACTTCCTAGGCAAAGGGGGGGAAGGAAGGTGGATGGTCACAGCAGCAGGTCTCCACTTTACCTTTCCTGTATTCTCCAGGATCAGGCCACAATTTTTCAAAGCACATTTTTAAAAAGAATCCAGTATAGACAGTGATCCTCTGATAATCCAAACCAGGACATGTAGAGTTCCTTTAAGGCTAAGAAATGCTGCCCTCTAGTGGCCGCCCCAATTATTGCAATTATTGTGAAATCTGGGGTCTGTTGGGACAAGCAGAGCTAAGGATTCAGGGTCCATGGCTATTTGTCCATAAACTTGCCATTAATTGAGCTGATAACTGAGATGGCTGCTTGATGATGGCATAGATCCCTGCTATCTAATTGTCACCCACATTTCTGCAATCTATTTATAACAGGTCTAGGTTTTGGGGTGAGAGACAAAAAGCAGATCTATTCAGCGCTAATTTTGCTTCCTCTAATAATCACAAATAGGAATTGTAGCAGGAAAAATAAGGGGCAGATGAGAGTCCATCCGTTCCTTTCCTGCTGATCACTACAACTAGCTCCTAAGGACGCCCAGGGACTGCCAGCTGCAGAAGAAGAGAAGGGGCGAACTGGAGCAGTCTCACTTCCATCACCTGTTTCAATGTCCCAAACGTAGACCGAATCATTTTCACACCCCACAACCAGCAGATTCTCCATGGGGTGCCATCGTAATGCTGTCACGGGAAAAAGGTGTTTCCTGGCACGCATAAGGCAGGCACGCTCTTGGACGTGCAAAAGAACAACGGAGTGGTCGCTACACACGCAGCATACGAGGCGGTGACCTTTCCGCTACAAAGACAAGGCAAGGAAGACTTCCTCAGTCAGGCCCAAGAAGGACGTCGGGAAGAACTACACATGTCGGGTGGCCTTGGGGCGCTTGCACTCAGGGCAAGAGCCCCCTCTCGCCCACCCCTAAACTCCTGGAGCGAAGCAGACACCCGCCCCGCCTGGTTGAGTTCCCAGCGAGTCGCCTTGGGCCTCGCGACTCACCCTGCAGCTGTCCGGCGAGAGGAGCAGGCGGTCAACGGGCCCCGCATCCAGCGCGAAGCGGTGCAGCGCCTCCCCAGTGAAGATGTCCCACCAGATGACACAGGAATCCCGGCTCCCGGAGAGCAGCCAGCAGGGCGCTGGCCGGCCGGGCAGCACCAGCAGGGCCGTCACGCTGCTGCCGCTGCTCAGCACACAGGGCGCAGCGTCGTCTGCAAGAGAAAATCTTGCAGCCAGTACCGCCAGGCCCCCCCTCCGCCTTTTTGCAGCCTTGGAGCCCTGGCTGAGGCAGGTGTTGCGTGGGGCTCCCACTGGCCCCTGAGAGCAGATGGGAGAGGAGGGGGCAGCACAGAATGCTCCCCGAGGGGGAACTCTGCAGCAAGTCTCCCAGATCAACTCCTGGGCAGCCAGAACAGGAGGCGGCCTTTCTGGGCCCCAGTGGAGGTAGAGGGCAAGGCCATGTTCATAAAATGGCTGCCCATGGCGACGGGCGTGCACTTGCTCTGGGCTTGAGGGCCAAGAGGTCAAGCTCAGTTGGACCCCCAGGGAGCCCAAGGTTGCAGGTGCAGAGAAGGAGGAGGCACTGGAGAAAGAGCTACTGGCCAAGAAAAGTCAGTGGCTGTGTCCCTAAAGCACTTGGGAGTTGAGGAAGGTTTTATTCAGGTGAGGGGGGAACCCTAATGCCTACCCCCCTTGTTGTAAAGTAAAGAAGATGCTCACCTTTCTGCACAGAACCCTCTCCCAACAGTCTGGCCTTCGCAGCATGCAAAGCTGGTACTGTGATAATTCTGCCATCTTTATATCCACAGACCAACTTCTGGAGGCTGGGAATGTATGTAGAAACTGTAATGGGAACTCCCCAGGGGTGATCAGGGATACCTTCAGCTATCGGACAGTAGATGTTAAAGTTATCCTGCAGAGTCCTGGATGCTGCTACTGGGATCACTGGGGAGAAAAAAACAATGAGATGTGAGCGATGGCACCTTCCTGTTCATATCCTTGAGGAGAGTTGGTCCCTCTAGTTTAGTGTTCTGGCCTGGCAAAAGCCTTTGGATGGAGAATAAGCAGAACATGAGTGCAACCACCCCTCTGAATGGCCTTCTCCAGCCATTGGTACTATGTACTGTCTCCCATCCCAATGCCTATATTATTTAGCAGTGATGTATATCCAAACCCATATCAGCCTCTGAATACAATAGAGAAGATAAGCAAAGTAGTAAGTCTTGGAGTTTATGCTAGGAGGTCCCATTTTTACCTTTTGCAATGCAAGCTCTAAAATAAAAAATATCTTAACCTTTTGGAGAGCCATCTAGAGTTGAAACAGGCACATCAGGAACATGCCATAAAGTAATCCTCCCAGAAGCTTGTCCAGAATAAAGAATCTTGTAAAAGGGTTCCTTCCTTTCGTTCATGAAGCCCATGATGTAAGAAAAACTCTATTGAAAGTAAAATCCCGGAAGAGGAGCTGTGTTAACTGACAAATAATCAACTTCTTTAGCATCTTTGAGGGGCACCCACAAGTTCCAATTCACAGTTTGCAGATTACTTCTGCTTGTTCCCACTTCACAGTTTTCTGTGTGTTTTGCATATTAGTACAGAGGTCTAAAGATATGCACACATTCATGACAATGATGCTTCACCTTCCCTCACACACTTGTGTTCCTCTAGCAGTTTGAACAGCCTGAGGCTGAGAGTGGCTTCCAGTTACTCATAAATTGATTTTCAGCTTAGAGCACACAAATTTAGAGATGCAATAAGCATGAAAGAAAGCAAGGAGCCATTTTTAAATCCTTTAATTCCCTACAATGGAATCCATGGTGATTCCAATGGCAAACTGAAAATCCTTGGAGAAAATGCCCTCAGTTCCTAGCTTTATGGGCTTTGGTTGGTAATGGTGCTTGCATTTATGGAAACCCAGTGATGTCTCTAGAAACCCAGCCAACTTACTTTGTTGCCTTGTACCTCAGTAGAAGAGAGTAAAACAGGATGAACTGTTTCTTTCAGCACCCTTCCTTTGGATGGCTGGATGCTCCGTGAAAGGCCACTAAAGACATGGGAAGAGGGAGGATCAGTCCTCTGACAATGCATGGGAACGGAAGCTCCTCCGTTAGCAAACATTTCCTTATGGGAATTGCCCCAAAGAGCATGCCCCCTTGTCCAACAAGGGTAGCAGCTGCCTGACCAAAAGCTCCTTGGGCCAAAGGGAGGGTCCCCCAGTCAAGATCTTAGAAATGTGGAGGGTTTTGCCATCAATAGGCTTCACAGGCTCCAGGTGATGCTTCTGCCAACTCCCTTGCACTTGTTGTGTCTCACCTGTTCACCAGTTGATAGATGTAGCCATGCCCATCTTCTGTCCAAATGATCAACCTATGAGCAGCAAGGATTTCCCCTCCTGCCAAGGTCTGGCTGCTTGGGCTAAACTCAGTCCACAGCAAGCAAAAGTCACAGTAATCATACACCTGAAGCCAGAGACAAAAAGGGGAAAGGTGACCCCCTGTTGCTATAAAGAGGGGAATTAAAGATATCTATCCCCTCTGGCCAGAGCCCTGTCCCATCCTCCAATTCCCTCCCATCAGAGGAAGCAGTTACAGAGCATGGGAGCAATGTGAATTTGGAAGCAGGACACACGTGAGGAATCTTGGAACAGTGGAAAATCTGAGTGTGATGAAGGCCTTCTGGAAGATTTCTGAGGGGGGGGGGCGGTGGAGGGGCATCTTTTTGTCCAGCAAGTGCATTGGAGAAAAGAATTGGCACAACCAGGAACACCATGGCCAGACAGTTCATCAGCTCAGGGCATAACAGTTCATTTATTAAACTCATTCAATCTCTAAAGTTATCAGAATCATGGAAGGGAACACCTAGAATAACAAGATGCCTTTTGCAAAGGCAAGAAAATTCTTTGGATCTATTATTGTAAAGGAATGAAACATGAACATTCACATTATGGTATAGCTTTAATTTAGTTTCTCAAATTGGGGGAAATGGATGTGTGTTAAAATCAATAACATTAGTTTGGTCTGATTTGGTTTATTAAACAGTCTATTCATTATCATTTTGTATGACTTAATTCTCTATTACAATTTGTATATGATTATTTTTCAATTTTCACTCAGCCTCTGCATTTTGATAAGCTCTTAAAGTTATTTGTGAAGGAAATGCCTAATATTGCATGCATTGCTTAAGTAATACCTTCCAGCAGGTGGAGAATACAACTAAGAGAAGCCTCTCTGTATAAGTGCAAAATCGGATTGCATTGCAGAGTGTGCAGCCCAGAGGCTGGCATTCTCTCTCAGAAACGTTCTGCTTTTCCTGCACATTGAAAGAAAAAGAAAAGGTCATTTGGGGGGAGGAATGGAAAAACGAAAAATAACATGGTCAGTCATCACTGCAAGATGGGCTATAAAGTAAAAGTTCACTCAGGGAGTCAATTGGTTTGATTAAGAGGGGAGAATTTGCCTCTCCCAAATATGGCATTTGGTTTCCTAAGCTGATTGACCAGATTTAATGGAAAGAACGGAGGAATGGCTGTATTTTGAACTCTTTTTCCAATCTATTCCTTTTCAGTTCTCTTGTATTTTAGCATGCTCTCAAGCTATGATGGCAAAGGGAGCATAAGGTCCCCTTGCCACATAAGATTTCAACATCTAAACAATGCTGCCTTGCTTGGGGCAGTTTGGGATTTTAGGAGACCTACAGGACATTCTCTACCCTGTCACAGGTTAGGCAAAATAAAACCCAAGACCAAGACACAAAACAAATAGCAAAAGCCAGGGAGGCTCCACTGACTTTTCCCCATACGACTGACTGAGACTGATGACAGATTTTATACTGGCGTATCAACAGAGCACAGAAACTACTTTAACTGATATTTCCCTTAAATTCCCGCTTTTTCTCAGAAAAGGGAGTGTTTGTGCATCATGACATTTTCTAGAATAACCCCTATGCCCCTTTGTACTCCTTCAGAATATACTAATTGTGAGGTCTTATGCCACAAGCCATACAATATCTGATTTAGGAGAGTTAGAAAGTTGTGTATATTTTCTATTTTGGAAATATACATGTTTTAAGATTTGGATTCTTTTAGGAAATTTATGCTAGAAATATAATTGCAACCAAATCTTAGGAATTCTTTGTAAGATAAATTATTTTCTAGTTATTCTGATCTGTCTGAGATTGGAATTGGACCTTTAAAAAAAAACTGACTTGTTTTTTCCCCCTGTAAAGTCCATGTCATATCCAGGAAATTAATTTCCCATCATGTTTAACATCAAATATGATCACTCCTTTCTAGATGAAAATTTGCTTTGCATTCAGTTTGGGGCCTGGATGCAGAACTTTCCAGAAGTTTCAACACTACCTGGGGCCCCTCTACGTCCACTCACAGGGATGTTGCTAACACTCCTGCATCAACACTGCCAGACTGAAGAGAAAGAGACACCTGGCCCAGGATATGGACCTTTGCTGCTTCTCACCTGTATCTTGCTGATCGAAGATGACAAATCCCAGGCTTTAAGGTCTCCTGCTGCAGATACGGCTAGTAAAGAATCCTCTGGAAAAGCGAAACAGGATGGCTGTGGGAGAGTCACAAGCAGGGGGCACAAGGAGTGGCGGGCAGGAAAATGGTGCTGCTGCTCTTGCCTGTCCGAGATGCCATGGAAGGGCCAAGACCCTGCCAACGCACCTAAACCCAGCCTCCAAGGAGCACCTCATGGTGCCCCGCTTCGTGTCTGTGGGTGGATGCACCCATTTGGGATCCTTGCAGCTCCTGTTCAGAGCCTTCAGAATTGAGGCTTGCTCTGCCCTCATTCACTATCCCAGAGTTCTGAGAGCGGGCAAAACTGTCCTTGCACCAGCAGTCCTGTTGTGTCCCAGGGCCTAAGAAGTATGGCCAGAAGAAAAGGGGTCCCACAGAATCCAGCCTTCCTTTCCAGCAGGGAGGAGTAAACTCCCTGCTGGGAGTAAACCATCAGCCTTCTTGACAACGATGTACAGTACTGTATTCTGCAGCTCTGACTAATTCCTGTAATTTCCAAACAGGCATCTGCCCACCCGCTCACCAAAGAAATTATAGGTAAACCAATATAATTTTACATCAATCTTCCTATATGTTACGCTTTCTATGGATAAGCATGAATGATAACTTGGTGTAGAAGCATCCAACTTGCATGCTTTTGACAGCAAATATACCTTGAATCCTCAGAGAATGCACTAAACACATACAGCTGATCCAGTCTGAAGAGGAAGAAGAGGTTAATGTGTGAAGCACAACCAGGGTTATCGCATCAATAATGAGGATGTCGTTATACTGCCCACAACAGACCAGCCAGCCCTCTCCTGCCATGCGAAATGAGCTGTGGTAATACTGTACAAAAGGAAAAAGGCAAGAGAGATTAGCTGGCAGGATTCAACCCCACTGAGAAGCACCTCTGTTATCCCAAGACTGACTCCTCCCAGACATTAGTTGGGAACATCCTTTAACCCACGGGTCTGCAACCTAAGCACGCAAAGAGCCATTCGGACCCGTTTCCCACAGAAAAGAAAACACCAAGAACCACAAAACCTGGGTGGGCATGGCCAACTTGATGTCACTCACTTCCAACAGTCACATGACCACCCCTAGCCACGCCTACCCAGCCGGTCATTAGGGAGAGAACCAGTTGTTAAAAGACACCGGGAACCACAAAACCCTTTTGACATCTCTCCCTCCTTCCCTTCCCCCCCCTCCTTCTCTCTCTGTATCTCTCTCTCTCTCCCCACCCCCGTCTCTCTGTATCTCTCTGTCTCTGCCCTGGCCGCTTCTCCATCTCCCGCCTTCGCCCTAACCTTCTCAGGCCAGGCAAGGAGTGACTGGGAGGGGAGGGTGAGGGCCGGGGCCAGCCAGTGGTGGGATCGCCCAACAGGCAGCCACAGCAGAGGGCCCAAAGAGCCGCATGTGGCTCCGGAGCCGTAGGTTACTGACCCCTGCTTTAACCAAACAGCATGCCGATCCCAGAGATGCGTGGATCAGGCCAAGTGCATTCTGCCCTCTAGTGGCTGACCAAGATGATGCATCTGGACAGTTCACAGTAGCATCCTAGACTTGATTCTGGGCTGTTTCAAACTATAAAGGGAGCCCTGTGGACCCTTTTCCATTCCCATTTCAATCTCTTCTTTGTGCTGTTCCAGAGATGCACGAAGGAGATATTTCTTCCTGCAGCTGCTTGTCTTGCAGCAGAAAAATGCTAGTGTACCAAGAAAATGCACCATCCTTAGTTCACAAAACAGAGAGATCATGCACAAGTGGAAGAGAGGCTCCTCTTTGCCTCTCACCCATGATACAAGCAAATCACATGACTGAGTTCCATGTTTCCTGAGCATACTAATTCTAATTCTAAATTTGATGCACTTAAACAGGCGCTGCAGTACAGAAGCAGGTTAGTGCAATAAAACAAGGCCATTGCATTTTGTTTGGAGCTATTTGCAGATTCTGTCTGAAACCAGTGGCTTCTCTACCAGTTCCAAGCCTGCAGCCACCTTTCAGGTAGGCTCACTTCAGCTCATGCTAGAGCGACCACAGCAGGAACTTGAGAAGTGTGCAGCTGCATTTCCATGGCAGCAGGAACTACATGCTTTGTTAGTGGCCCGATCTTGTCCAGTTTGTTCGTTCCTTCCAAAGCCAAAGAAGGAAAGGCAGAAAGTACAGCAGCTTCAAAATCAGCACAATGCTAGACAGAAGCTAATGGATGTAATGCCATCCAAAAAAGAAACAGCATGCCAGATTCAGTCTAAGCATTCCTGAATCCCTAGTGCTTACCAGAAGTCTGGGACTTCTAAGCATTTGGTGAGATCTTCATTTAGTTGTATCTTTACTCTATTTTTTTTTAAATGTAGGTATAAAACCCAGGCTGTATTCAGTTTAGTCCTTTCTCACCTCTGGAATATTTTTTCATCAAACTACTGGAGACACCAATACGACCTGTGTAAGAAGAAGCTGCTAGGAGATGGTACTCAAGAGAACACAGGTAAGATGTGTTCTACTTACACAGATGGCTGTGTGCCGAAATGGAAGCCTTGTATTCTCTACACACCGTCCACTGGTGATGTCCCAAATGCTCATCTCTCTGCCAAAACAATAATTGATCGTGTGCTATGAGACACACACACACACACACACACACACACACACACACACACACACACATCCAGTATGGGACTTACTTTGAAATTTGAGGGCAGATGGAAGTGGGTAAGATGTAAGTTACACTGAAACCAGTTTTTATTAAAATATGATGAAATCCACTATTTTAAATTGTTAAGGCTTAAACTTCCTCACCTATAGTGGAACAGTTCTGTCAACATCCCTGTGAGCTGTCTTAAAGAAAGTATAGAAAATGGCTTTGTCTCAGACATCGAACAAGCTACCTTGCTTCTATTAGCAGCCGACATCAGAGGCAGGTTACACGAAAGTTCTTGTGTTTCTGGAGAATGGCTCAAGGCTCCTATCCCTTCTCTGTATTTCAGAAGATCAATCTTCCCTTTCTTCTTGGGCCTTCCTCTTTTATTAAAACACCTTCCAGGGCTCTTCTACAGCTAGCCTCCTTTTTCACCTGAAATCTCAGAGATACTCATACTAGTCCTGACCTACCTTAGCAAGAATTATTCTTAAGAAAAGCCACCAGGCACCAATCTCTACTGTTCCAAAACAGCAGGTCTATTTCCTGCAACTCAGAACTTTCCATAGATGAGGTGTCATGGGAAATGCTGAGTGACTGACCCGTTCTCAGTAGCACTGACCACGTACAGTTGCTTCTCAAAATCTCTTGCCTTCGCCAAACACATCACTGATGCCGTATGCCCCAACAGCATCTGCCTTGATGACATCTACAAGGGCAAAAGGTTAATTGTATAACAAGGTCAAAAGGACTGATTTTCAATAATGGGTTGTATGTTCTTGATTACAGAGCAGATACGTGGAAAATAGCATTCTACTGAGAATGAAACTGCTCCTCCCCAGCCTGTGATAGGGCTAGGGTGTCCCAAAAGTAATCACTAATTCTGCCTGGGGAGAGGTAGTCCTTGTTGAGGAGCTTTCCCTCTGACCAGACTGTTGCTGGGAGCAGCTCTGGAAGGAGACACTATGAAAATGTATTGGATAGAAGTATATATGTTTCACACCTGGAGGTCTGGCAGCAGGTCCCAAAGACAGACTTGGCCTTCGTGACTCCCTGTGACGATTGTTCTCTGGTCATCTGTGATGAGGATAGCTGTGATGCTGTGGGGAGGGGCTTCTTTTCCCCACAGGGTCACCATCTGAACAGAATCCCTCATAATGGCTTCGTCTGAAAAAACAGGGACAACTTTTTTAACAGCAGGGAGAGAGGAGTTGTTTTTCTTCGGATTGTGTTAAAGCTTTTCAATCCTTTATTTGTGATTTTCCTTACCTGGACTTTTTGCATAGCTTAGGCAACTATCAATAAACCAAGCATAATGTCAGTGTTCCAAACAAGCTAATTTTCCTCCCCTGATATGTCTAAAAATGGATAAAGAAATCAGACAACTCAAAGGGAGTTGGCCTCTTCTGTTCCACAGTTCTTCCTTGCCCGGATATTAGAGAGAAAGGCTAATTCTGCAGTCATTTTCAGTTTGCTTGAAGTGGGTAGCTTTGGATCTTCTGGCATTCAACAGAGTCAGACAGTTGCAGCTATTTTTAATTGGCACTTATCTGCTCTGCCCATTTGCAATTGTAGTAATCCACACTATTTTAACTTTCTAGTTAAGGTCAGTGGAATCTGTTATATCTGAGATTTCCTCTGAGAAAAATCTAAAAACTTTGATTAGTTCAAACTAGGCTACAAGGTTGTTGGTGAATAATAACCATATAACTCCTGGAACGGACTTTATTGTTGCAACTATAATTAACATACTCTTGAAAGCCTGGCAGAGCTTCTTTTCCCTGCCCCCCCTCCCATATACAATCAAGGTGGGGCAATGCTAAATTTCTTTCTCACTTCCTTCTCTCTTTCCAGTCTAGGTTGGTTTTAACCAAATGCCTGTTGAACGCCACCTTCTTCTAGGCCATATCTGTACTGTACTTTACGTGTATTGTGTGAACTGCCTACAGAGTTGTGACCATCCATCTATTTAATCAGTCTATATAAATGTGATGAATGGATGAATAAATAAATAAAACTTTGAATTCAATAAATTTCTTTGGAATACCCTTTCTAAGCTAAGAGCCACTCAGAAAAGATTTTGGAAATAGACAAATAAATATACTGGACACTATGAAAATGTATTGGACAGAAGTATATATGTCAGAAAAAAAATGATGGGTGAGTGATAAGCAACTGGAGTGAAACCAATTAGGGGAGGTGTGCAGGGATGAAATCCAGCAGGTTCTGGAGAACCGGTAGTGGAAATTTTAAGTAGTTTGGAAAACCAGCAAATACCATCTCTGGCTGGCCCACGAGTAGGGTGGGAATGGAGATTTTGCAGTATCCTTCCCCTGCCATCCCCACCAAGCCACACCATGCCCACCAAGCCACGCCCACAGAACCAGTAGTAAAAAAATTTGGATTTCACCACTGGAGGTGTGGGATGGAGAAATGGGATGGATCCACCCCTCCCCCCCATGAGCAGCTGGGACTGAGTTTGCGTGCCCTGTTTTGCCCCTCACTCTGATTAGAAGACCAGGCCAGGCAGTGAGCTAGTCTGCTACAGCTTTTGTTTCAAAAAAGAAAGACAAATTTCACTCTGCACCATTGTGAGGACACAGCCAGAGCCTCTCCAGCTGTTGATCACAAATGCAACTCCGTGCTACCACTCTTGACTGGTTGCCCAGAAGCTTTTTTTTTTTGCTTTAATTTATATGCCGCCCTTCTCCGGAGAAGGGCGGCTTACAATGCGTTAAGCAATAGCCTTCATACTTTTGTATATTTATACAAAGTCAGCTTATTGCCCCTACAATCTGGGTCCTCATTTCACCTACCTTTGAAAGGATGGAAGGCTGAGTCAACCTTGAGCCTGGTGAGATTTGAACTTGCAGTAATTGCAAGCACATGTTAATAACAGTGCTTTAGTCCACTGTACTACAGGCTCTTCCTGTAGTACAGTGGTCCTGTAGCACAGTACCTTTTTCACTGGGAAATGGTTTTTCTCTGGATTCCTTGGCAAGAATTATTTTCTTAATTAGTCAACAGAACGACGATTCAGTCGAAATGCCCCATGTTGGTGCAATTTTGAATTGGTCTTCTCATGTCTTTTAGTGGCACATCATTAATTAAAATAGTTTATGTTGTTGCACCTGACCTAGCAATTGGGGGGAGGAATGGAAATGGAGCACCTTCGAGCAAGAAGTACATGCCCACCCAAGTTGCCAGAGGTTTCCACAGGCCTCCCTCTGTCTCAGTGCAGTATGGGCCCACAGAACTGACACAAGGCCTTTGCACACAAAGTGCTTTGCTGAAAAGTCAAGTATGGGAGGCTTTCGCCAACTATTGTAAAACATCCTCTCCTTTTTTTTAGTTGTAGTTCTCAGGTTATTGATATGTGCTATCCTGGGGCAATTTGTTTTAAACTATTTAAAAACAGCAAGTGGTTGAAAAAATAGTTTCATATTCACACTTCTTTTATAATTCTACTCAGATATTTTGAAAGAATATAAAAGTGTCCCCCAGGGAGAGTTTGCACAAAATCACACAGGAAGTAAACTGGCCAGATCTGAAGGTTGCACAGCCCAGATGGTGTTTGCCATGAAACCCAAATAATTGAAGCAAAATTCACTGTGAAGCTGATGGCCGACTCTGACTTGGAAGAAGGTGTGCCAATTACTTGCCCTCTACTCAGGAAGTTTGCTCATTGCATTTTTGTACCACCCAACCCCAAGATTTGGGCTAGGTTGCAGCATCCTCAAGAGCGTAAAAGAGCCACCTCTATTAATCCAATCCAGACCCTGCAATGGTACCCCACTGGGGCCTCACCCAAAGCTTGCCTAAAGAGGAAGATCTGCATCTGCTTGAATGGCAGGAGCTACAGCATGATCTGGCAGCTCTGAAAAAGAAAGGAGGGAACAAGCCACACAGCTGAGCAAAAGTCAGCATGGTCATCAGGGTGAAATGCTCTGAGATTAAAAGCCAAGGCTGGAAGCAGGTTAATGGGACTCTGACCTTGGACTCACTTTGTGCTTAGCCTGCTCTCTTGCCTGTTTTGTTCCTGGCACACAGAAGCACCTATCCCTGTTGCAAGAGGACACAAGAGTATTGGTCATCAGGATGGGAAAACAAAATCATCCTTTTTCCAAGATGTTTCTCTGGTCTGGAGGGGAGGGGGACACCACAGTTTATTACTTTGCTCCTGACACTTCACAGTTCCACTTTTTTGATATTTTTGCACATTTCCCCCACAAGCTGAGGAAACCCATGTTGCCCTCCCAGAACAATCTAGGCAAGTCCAGGGACCAGCGACTATACTCAGATCAGCATATAGGTTCTCTCTCTCTCACACACACACACCTTCCGACCTCCTCGCCCCCCCCCCCCGCCCAGCCTCTGTAGCAGCCCCTGTCCTCCTTTTATCCTGCCCTAATCTGTGGCTGTGCTCAGCGACAACTAGTGACTCTTTCTGGGCTAATGGGAAGCCTGGATTCAGGAGGTTATGTGGGGCTAGACGAGGAAGGAGAAATCCTCTACTTTCCTTTTGCCCCTTACTCACCAGCATGAAGTTTTTCTCCCCTGGAAGTGGGGCTCTTCTGGTCCAGTCCAGGGGCTTCTTTAATCTGAGGAGAGCTCTCCTGTACTCAGCCAGTGTCCTTGGGAAGGGAATACTGCCGCTGCTCCTTCCTCCTCCACCCCCAGTCACGTTTCCGAGGTGGGCTGGGAGCTGCAAAGAAGGTTAGAACTGGATCTGGCTCAGCAAGTAAAAACTTGCCTCTGCTAGCTTGTTTCTCTCCCTCTGCAGCCCAGCCCTGGGAAGGGACGTCCAAGTGCTGGCTGACAGGAGGCATGATGGAATGGAGGCCCAGGTATTTTTTGTTTCTGCAGTCATTCCATTCCTTTTCTTTTAAAATTGCAAACTGCCGGTCAATTTCTTCTACATTACCTCAGTATAGTCTTAAAGCATTTTAAAACAATTATCTTTAGCAGTTATGTTGATTGTTTAGCAGGGAAGTTTTTCAGTCAGTTGAAGAGGATCCAGGGATGTTACACTTTTTCATAAGAAAAAGGTAGTTTCCTAAAGACAGGTTTGGCTGACTTTAGCTTTAACAAGGGGTACATCTTGCCATCGAGGTGATGTAATGCTGATAAAAATGTCCATTTCATATGAATGTTTTCCTTGTTTTGGAAATATCCAGAGAAGATTGTATAACTCTTATTCCCTGCCAGAAGCCTTTCTGAGTACCTCACATCGGTGCTGAAAGAGTAATTTCTCAAAAGAAAGTTGCTTTGCAAGATGACCACCTACTCAGACAAAGCACAAGTAGAGCCTTCCCAGCCCCTCAGCAGGTGCTGTCCCACCACAGGCCTTCAGTGGGTTCAGCAGCCAACGGCATGGGGCCAGCCAGCACATGGGACTGTTCTTATGCTGCAGGCCGTCAAATGCCCCCGTGCCCTGAAGGAGCCAGACAACCACCAAGTCCTCCTCAGATCTTCCAGGGTGTGTGTATGTGTGTGTGTTAAATAACTAAACGTTTTAACATTTCTTAGTTTTAATTTCTAACACAGCAAATATCAATAGCTATAACCCACGTAAAGCAAATCTCTTTGGGGTCCTCAGTCATTTTAAGAGTATAAGGTAAAGGGATCCTGGTACCAAAATGTTTGAGAACCAGCTATTGGGACTCCCTCCGGGGTCTCCACCTGAGCAAAGACTGGGAACCCCAGTGGCCCTTTTCCCAACTGTAGAGCAGCCAATAGTTGTTGGAATTTTGGGTCAACATTTGTGTACACTACCATGTACATAAAAAGTGAAGGGAAATACAAAATAGAGGGTTTGAACTAGTGCAGACAAAAATTGACTAAGTATTTAGAGTTCCCTTAGGGTTTGAAATCTGCCAGTCTTGCAACCTTTGCAATGCTCAGTTATTTTGGGGGGGGAGAGGGCTTGGTCTTGAATTTTACTGAATTTTTAAAATTTTCAGTTAAATTGTCTCAAAATGTTTCTTAAAACAATTAAAAATTCTTTCAATTTTTTAAACTGAAAATTCAATTAAATTTTCTTAAATCTATTTATGGTAGAAAATATAAAGGTAAACTATAAAACTAATATAAAATAACAATATATATAAAAAGAAAAATCTAAATGAATTCATTTTTAGAAAAGAAAAATATATTAAAAATAACCAAGAGAAAACAATTTGAAAGAAGAGGGAGGGAAAAACCAAAAATGAAAGTTGAAAGTCTAGCAGAGGGAGCGTGATGAGAGAGAAGTTCTGGTGAGAGAGAAATTCCCTGAGGATGGGCTCCAGCAGGAGTCCGAAAGCTTGGAAGACCAAACCTCTGGTCCTGGTAACCGACCCAGATTAGATCCCACAACATTATCCTGGGACACATATATTGGCCTTCATTCGTTAATTAAACCACTTTTTAGAATCTGATGCTTAAGCATCTTGCAGGAATAATTTGCAATACTCCAATAACAATATATCCAAAATTCTTCATAAATTGAAATTTTCTTCAATTTTAATTACAACACTCGTGTTGCATATTCAATCATTAACTTCCTTCCGGGGTATGGGGGGGGGGAGGAGAGGTTTTCCAGGTTTAGCCTGATTTCTCAAGGTATCCTGCTGAAATCACAATTCTCCACTAATCCACAAGAGGGCGCTCAGACATTAGCTTTTTGAAGAAGTTTGAACCATGTCCTTTCTCAGAACTGCAGATATATAGTCCCTTTCACCACCTCCACTGGCAAGAGGATTTCCCTTTCCGCTTCTCCACAAGTAAGGCTCACCTTACAATTGGGCTTAATTTCAGATAGTGGGGAATGAAATGTCATTTGTAGCTGCTGGCTTTGACTCATTACTCATATACTGCACAAGTCAAAAAGAGGGCTGTGAAAATATTTACAGACCCCTCGCATCCTGGACATAAATTGTTTCAACTCCTACCCTCAAAACGATGCTATAGAGTACTGCACACCAAGACAACTAAGTACAAGAACAGTTTTTTCCCGAACGCCATCACTCTGCTAAACAAATAATTCCCTCAACACTGTCAAACTATTCACATTAGTCTGCATTACTATTGCTATTGGTCTTCTCATCGTTCCTGTCGCCCATCTCCTCCCACTTGCATGACTGTAACTTTGTTGCTTGTATCCTTGCGGTTTATATTGATATTGATTGATTCCTAGTATGATTTGATTGCTTATTGTACCATATGACTGTCACTGGGTGTTGTGCCTTGTAATTCTTGATGAGTGTATCTTGTCTTTTTATGTACACTGAGAGCATATGCATCAAAGACAAATTCCTTGTGTGTCCAATCACATTTGGCCAATAAAGAATTCTATTACTTGTGCCTCTGCTAGCAGTAAAGCCCTGTAACAGCCACTCTTTGGGACAAATCGTAAGAAGACTAGCAGAGGGTGCCCACAAACACCCAGAAGACAGGACAAAAACTCCTTAATTTCAGAACACATAGACAGACTCAACCATAGTTTCGATTGGGAAAATGTGAGTATCCTACGCCTAAGACTAGACCAAGCTAAAACTAGATCAACGTATATCCCCCAAATGCTCAAGAATTCCTAGAAGCTTGGCATTCAGACAAATCAGCCATCAGCATGCACATAGAAATAAATCACGTTTTCACACCATTCAAAAGAGACAATAAGAAGAGAACAAAAAGACCAGCTGCTGCTCTCCAGCTGCTAACACTCAGATAAGCAGGGGTTAACATCCGACAAACATTAAGCATTAAAATATATCCTAATCAAGGAACTACCAAGGAGAAAACCACATTGCTACCAACACTGGCAGGTCAACTCTGTATATAAACAGGGAGCAAACCCAAAACTAGCACTGATGATGTTGAGTAATGAAACATCCGCAAGCAAACAACCAAGCTCAGAGAGCACCAAGTATTCCACAGTTCAACATTGAGCCAGAGAGATTCTCTTTATTGGTACTGGGAAATAACCTTGAACAGACTGACAGATACCCATAGCTGAGTATCATCAGAAGGTGATGGCACTTAACTCTGTACCAACAAGTTCCCTTGCCCAGTGGCTTCATATAGAAGTTAAATAGGACCAGCAGGGAAAGAATTGAGTCTTCCAGATCCTGCAGAGCAGAGGTTTGGGGCCAGACCTCTCTACCAACACTGACTAGAACCAAAGGAAAAAGGCTAACAAAAGTACATCCCTATTTCTTTAAACTGCTCCAAAGGCTGTGATGACTGATGGCACCGAAGGCTACTGAAAGATCAAAGAAAAGTTGATCTATAACTCTTTTCCATCCCATATTAATGTCATTTTTCCTTACTTGGAAGTTTGCATATATTTCTTTTGAAATTTGTCTAGCTACATTTTGCCCAAAGTTCCTGTTTGCCAAGATCCTCTTGAATCTTGATATTATCCTTTAAGCTATTTTCTATTGGCTCACCCTTTGTATTGCTTACAAATTTTATAATTATATTTCCTAATCCCCATCCAAGTAATTGCAAATATATTGAACTGCACAGGGCCTAGAGCAGAGTCCTGTAGTCTGCTACTTAACATTTTCCTCCAGGCTAGACATACGCTTGCTGGCTACGGTTCTTCCACCATCCATGTCCATCTAACAGCAGAATTCAAGCCCCACTTTGTCATATATACTATGGGAGGTCTTGTTGACTGCTTTGCTGAAGTCATGATATCCATCACATTGCTGACAACTAAACTAGTCCCTGTCAAAAAAAGATCAGGTTGTTTGGCCACAATTTATTCTTGATAAATCTATGCTGGCTCCTGACAAGCAGTATATTAGTTTCTAAATGCTCACAGACAACTGTTTAATAATTTGTTCCAGAATTTTGTGAGGGTCAATCTCCTGCTAATGAGCCCATAGTTCTATCCATTTCCCGCTTTTTGTACAGAGGGAGAGGATTTCCCCTTTTCCACTCCACTGATACAACTCCAGTGCTCTGTGAAGATGTTGCAATGATTGCAGAAAGGGGCTCATATGGCATTCGCAAGCTCCTCAAGACTCTGAGCTGTGATTGCTCTGGTCCCAGACCTGAGACAAAACTCCACCTCTGCTTGCCTGATCATCAGGACACTCATCGTCCCTAGCACCAGCACCAGCACCAGCACCAGCATCCCCAGCCTCTTCTTAAATGCAGGACTGGGTGATGTCACTCTCCACCCCCTCCCATTGCAAATGCACCCTTCACTAGTAGTTTAGGAAGCTCTATTTTGCTCTGCTTCAAAGCCATTGTTTTCCCTCCAAAGCCCTTGGAAGTGAACAGCTGGTGCAGACTCACAGTCATCCAGGTTAGATGCATTTTGATCCTGAAGGACATGTGCCTAGCAGCTCTTTGGAAATGACTGGTCGGAAAAGGGATGGCATGAATATAGGAAAGAGAAGTTTCTGTGCAGGACAGAAGATGTGACCTGGGAAGCAGGGAGAAGCTTTCTAGAGCTTGATGAACCACTTGGTCCTCTGCACTTGTCAGTTGCTGGCACAAACTATTTATTTTCCCCGCTCACTTTGTTAGAAAGCAGGGAAAGTGTGCCTTATTTTATTACATGCTAATCCATAAAAATCCCCAGACAGTTTGTTGGCAGGACTAGACCTCAATGGTCTTTTAATTCCACTGTAGATCGATAATCTTGTAATTGGCTTTAACAGATGCTCTCTGGAGCCACATTCTAAAATACAAGCTGCTGCAATGCCATCAAGTTATGACAGCATAACAGGTCCCCGGGGTAGGCCTCTGAGGGCCCTTCAGCCAAAGAAGCCAGAAGAGTCCCAAACTCAACAGGTTGAGTGAGCCCTATGCAAACTGGTGGAGCTTCTCTCAAAAGGCCCCATTGGGAGAAGACAGAGTGCAAATCCTGCTTGAATGGACCTGCACAGTTCTTTCCCCTATTGGTGACCTTGTTCAAAAAAGTAGATTACTAAATGGCTCTATTGATGTTTACACTTTTGACATGAAGTGTTAGGCAACCCCTTCACCAGACCTACTCTCACCCCACAGAAGCCTCAAATCCCATTGCTTGCAGTGGGCCTGGGGACTCCCCACAAAGGGGTAGGGAAACAGAGGCATGAAGGCTGGTGCCTGCCAAGCCAGAGAGGCCGTGACCTTTGGGGCCCGGCAAGCTCTGCAACTAAGTAGGGATGGCCTTCAATTCAGAGTGAAGCCCTGCAGGGCTGGAGAAAGATGGGGCTGTCCTTATTTCAGGATGTGTTGAGGACTGCCATCAATGGGTAGACTGCCCTGGCATTAGTTTCTGCACTACCCATCCCATGCCACCTGTTGGCAGAAACAACACAACAAATCACTTTCCTTAAGAGGGGGAGGGGCTGGGAGCCTTGGGCACCCAAAGGGAACCCACAACAGCTGGCCGTCGAGGTCCCACGCTCCCCGAGAGTCGAGCCGAAAGCCTCTCAGCCAAGCGTTGGGCTCCTTTCGAAGGAGCCTAGCCCGGCAGACGCGGCCAAAGTTCCTTTGCGGCTGACCGGGGCGCCAACTCCGCCAGGCTCCCCCTGGGAAGCGATCTCCGCACCGCGCAGCCCCTGCAGTAACGTAAGGGGGCCCAAGCGGTTGTCCCCCTCGCCCCCCCGTCACCTAACTGCAACACCTCGGAGGTACCGGAGAGGGTCCACTGCACATGCGGCAAACCTGACGGGAAGGGGGGATTTAGACTCTGCCCCCTTCCCGACCGGGCCGGCGCCGAGTCTCGCCTTTGCCGCGCGGGAAGGAGCTCTTCCTCAGCAAGCCTCGGCCGGTCAGAGGGCCGCACCTCCCCGGCTCTCTCGCCAGCGGCGCTGCTCTGACCGTGTCCCGCGCTTTGCAGAGGTGCAGTGCCGTCGACGCTGGAGGCTCGATCGCAGCCGAAGCAGCGGGCCTCAGCCGAGTCTTCCCGCGAGCGCCGGAGGAAAAGCGTCGCCTCCGTTACAGGTGGAGCGCGAGGCCGGACACAGCCCGACGCGATTCCCCTGGCGCGGGCGGAGACGAGGCTCCGAGGAGCGGGGGCGGTGCCGGAGAGAAGCGCTCCGCCCGCGCCAGGCTC